GTGTTTTTCATGCATTTGTATTGGATGCTAATCAATGATCTGCAGGAGAAACGTTTCTGATATTCTGTTCTTGCTGTTATTAATGCTGATAATATATCTGGCAATAATTACTCCACTTTGCCGTGTTTGTGTCTCACCGATCTGATGGTTATGGACTTTTCCCGCTCTTTTCTCTGTGAATGATTGCTTCACCCTTCTCCGCATTAGTTTGCTCCGCTCAGATCCCAACGCACTCACGACACAGACTGTGTACAAGTTTAATTAAGAATAAATACATATTTTGTGCTTAATAGCTACTGTGTTTTAGTGGTTTTTCACAGACGTAAACAGTGATTATCTGAGCTGTGCTCTTCAGGTTCAGGTACACTGTTAAAAAACATTTGATTAAAGTCAAATCATCTTCATCTATAAAGCGCGTTTAACAATATAGATTGTTTCAAAGCAGTTTTACGGTGATAATGTTACAGAAGAGGCTCGCGCAACGCCTTCTCCTCACCACCCATACACAGTAAAAGAAATGGACACAGCGACCCCATTGATTTCAACTGAGAAAATTAAAGAATTGAAATTGAAATTGAATTGATGCTCAAATCAGCGAGGTGGCCGGCCCGAAAGGAAAATTCCACCAAAGTGAAAGAGGCCGACAGCACCGCGGCTTAAAACGAAACCAAAATGAGCATGCTTCTGACTGGAGATGTGGCAGAAATCATGTAAAAGGTGACATTTGTCCAGCAAAAAGTCCCGAGTGTCGCAAATGTAGGAAAAGGGGTCATTTCACTGCAGTTTGTAGAAACCGAGAAGTCCATGAGGTCAGCCGACCACAAGAGGGCAGCAATGTAATGCATTGAGTTAATTCACAGTGATGACAAAAGTGGAGCTTGGATTGTCACACTCCCAAGTCAGCGTACAGACATAGACTTTAAAATTAACACAGGTGCTGACATACGTGTCATTTCTGAGAAAACCGTCTCAGTTTTGAAGTACAAACCAAAACTTAACAAAGTCAATGTAAAACTTGAGAGCCCAGGGGGAACATTGCAATACAAAGGTCAGTTCAGAGTTAAGACTACCTTTAAAGATAAGCTATATATTTTTGAAGTATTTGTGGTGACTGGTCCCCATGTAAACAATCTCCTTGGTCGTGATGCAGCGTGTGAAATGGGTATAGTTAAGAGGCTAGATTTCTGAACTGGGATTAGTGAATACAAAACCCATTAAAACCCCTATAGTGGCCGTTCCAAAGAAGACAGGGCAAATAAGGATTTGTGTGGATCTAGCACAACTAAATAAAGTTATACAAACCGAGAAATTTGTGCTGCCAACAATTGACGACATCCGTCCTACACTAGCACACGCTGAAGTTTTCTCCCTTCTCGATGCAGCTCGGGGATTCTGGCGGCTTCCACTGGATTTGGACTCTGCTAAACTGACAACGTTCATTACTCCTTTTGGAGAATATTATTTCTGCAGGCTACCGTTCGGTATCACCGGCGCACCAGAAATCTTCCAACGGGAAATGTTGGTAATCCTCAAAGACCTTGAAGGAGTTGCAGTCTTCATGGACGATATTTTAGTATTTAGCAACACTCCAGAGGAACACGAGCAGCGACTGCAGAAGACTCTGGAAGACATTGATCGGGCTGGTCTCAAGCTGAATACAGAAAAGTGCCTGTGCTTCAGTCAGGAAATCCAGCAGCTAGTTAACAGTTGAAGGACTGTCTGGAGTCAAGACCTACCCAAAGGAAGGAGCCACTTTTAACCACTCCACTGCCAGACCGTCCATGGGGGAGAATCGCTGTGACATCTGCGAGGTGAATAAGCAACATTACTTGGTAGTCGTGGACTATTTTTCAAGATATATTGACATTGCTCACCTTTAAAACTTGTCAGGTGAAACAACACGTGCTTGTCTAAAGAACATGTTTGCACGATGGGGCTGTCCCAATGTTCTCTTTACTGACAACGGCCCACAGTTTAGTGGAAGTGCTTTCAAAGACTTCACTAAAGACTGATTTTCAGCACATTACTTCAAGCCCTTATTATGCCCAGTCAAATTGAGAAGCTGAAACGATCCTGAAACAGTCACACCCATTCACAGCCTTGATGAGCTACACCCATTCAAGCTACAGGCGTAAGTCCAGCTCAGCTGATGATGGGAAGACAAATAAGAACTACAGATCCCACAGTGGAGTCTCACCTGCGACCTGAATGGCCTGATCTGCGGCAAGAGAGAAAAGCTGATCAAAAGATGAAAAGTATTACAACAAAAGAAACGGTGTTAGGACATTACCAGAGCTTCCACTAGGAACTTCTGTTGCAGTCGAGCTGGATGCTGGAAGAGGTCGTTTAGGATCTGGGACTATTCTCAGAAAGTGTGAATCACCTCGGTCTTACCTCATCCAATCTGAAACTGGAGTATTTACACGAAATCGTCAGTGACACTGAACCAGCTTCTACTTCAGTTCAACAAACTATTAAGTTCATGGTCAAAGTCAACTTGTAACTGAGCCGGATAACGTCCCAGACAGTGCAGTGCAGTAAGAACAACCAGGATCTGATCTACTTGAGTCTGATTCCAGTCACACTACAGTTATGGAGCTTTTCCACTGCTGGTACGGATCAGTACAGTTCGGCTCACTTCGCTTTTCCACTGTGTGGTACGACTCGTCTCGGCACGGCACGGCTCGCTTTAGCTCGGTTTGCTTTTCCACTGCAGTACCGCTTCAAAGTGGGTGGGATTGTAGTCTGACCGTTATAGTTTATCCGCTCCTCGGCGACCAACGAGAGGAACGTCTGCACTTCGTCCACTGACCACGATTCAGCCATTTCTTATTTGGAAGTTTTCTTTCTTTGTTTTTTCTTCAAGCAAGTCAAGCAAGTAGTTTTAAAACAGGTGCTTCAGTGGTGGCTGTTACTGGCTAAAGTGCCTATTTCGCAAATACAATGACGCTGGTAGTGGCGATTCTGTCTGACCAATCAGTGATCTGCAGTGTGTTCACATCACATTTTAGTATCGGTACGGTACGCTTGGACCCTCAACAGAGGTGGTACCATTTAAAGCGAGCCGAAGCGATCCGCACCGTACCGTACCATGCAGTGGAAAATGCCACAAGTGAGCCGTACAGAGCCGAGCTGTACCGTACCATAGATTAGATAGATTAAGTTTATTTATCCTTGCGGAAAATTGTTCTGCACCTACAGTACGTCTGATACATTTAGACAATTTTACATGACAGAATACAACATTCCCTCATCCCCACCGCACCCCTACACACACACAGCATCAGGACTGAAGACTCAAAGAAACCTAATTAAAGTGCTATTAGTGCTATTAAAGTGCAGTCCTACAGGTAACTTCTTGTTCATCAAAGTGATGCTAGTTGGAATAAATGATTTACTGGCTCGATTTGTCTGGAAATAAGGTAACCTAAACCTTCTCCCTGATGGCAACAGCTCGTATGCCCGGTGTAAGGGATGTGACGTATCTTTATTAATAGCTATACCTTTCTTCAACACTCTTCTTTCACAGGTAATAGCCATACTGTCTAGTTTATGCCCCGCGACCTTACTGGCCTGGTTAAATATCTTGCTCAATCTATTTTTGTTGGTCAAAGAGAAATACCATGCAACGCAACAGAAAAGTAGCATGCTCTCCACAGATGAGTGATAAAGTAACATCATATCTCTATCCACTCTAAACTGTCTCAGTCTCCACATAAAGTACAGTCTCTGCAGCCCCTTTTTATAGATGGTGTCGGTATTACTATTCCACTGCAACTTATGATCTATTATTGTGCCTAAGTACTTGTGCTCTGCAACAATAGCCACATCCTCTCCATCTATAACCAAGCACTGGTGTGGCTGGTTATCCATTATAATGTCCTTTGTTTTCTTTATGTTTAGAAGAAGACAGCTGGACCTGCACCAGTCTGCGAATGAATTCACCCAGGCCCTATAATTGGTCTCATCACAATTCTGTATTAACCCCACTATTGCAGTATCGTCTGCAAATTTTATTGTGAGATGCTCGGATGTATTACTTCTACACTCGTTGGTGTAAAGAGTGAACAATACTGTTGAGAGGACACTGCCTTGTGGGGATCATGTGTTGGTCATAATATGAGAAGACACAGCTTCATTTACCCTGAAACACTGTGTTCTCTCCGTCAGAAAGGACTCAACCCACCTGATTATATTAGGATTTACCCCTAACTGCCCCAGCCTCTCCATCATAATGTGAGGCCTGATGGTATTAAAGGCAGAGGAGAAATCTATAATATCGTTTGGGCTCATCCAGATGGCAATAGATATTATGGAGCATATACAGAAGTCCGTCATCTGTACTACGCTTATTCCTATAGGCAAACTGTAAAGGGTCGATATTACATTGCACATCATTTAGAATATATCTCAGAACAATTTTTTCTAGGCTCTTCATCACTATTGATGTAAGGGCAACGGGACGATAATCATTTAAATCAGCTGTACCATGCAGTGGAAAAGGGCCACAAGTGAGCCGTCCTGAGCTGAGCCTTACTCTATCATGCAGTGGAAAAGCACAAAAATTGTGTACCGTACTGAACCATGCTGTGGAAAGGCGCCATTAGTTCACCAAAAAGAGTGCAGACAAGGTCTGGACGAATTGTCACAACTCCTAAGAGATTCAAGGACTTTGCAAGATAAAGAAAGATATTCATATATATATAAAACGTAAAACAAAAGTTGTTTTCTGACTATTGTAATTTCACAGTAGAATGTTACATTTGTTAAGTACCTTATAGGTGATGTGATATAAAACAGTTTATATCGTTGTTATAGGTAATGTGTCTTTAGACCATCAGGGGGGATGTGGCAGACATTCAAAGCATGAGTATTTTCATTGTTCTTTTGTTGTTTATCCAAGGCTTTATAGCGTTATATCTTAACGTTTCAATGCAAGTTCATTTCACATGAAGAAATCCTGAAGTTGTTCTTTGACCTGTTTCAACACACCTTGATCAGAAGCTCATCCCTCTTACAACACTGACCAGGAAGAGACGGACTTGTTATTTCTCTTTTCTGCCATACTGACTTTGACTCGACAAAAGCAATAAAGAATCAGCGATCAGTGGAGTACGAAGAGAAAAACTTTACAGAAGAATTTGAGAAGTTTCTTCCTGAACAAGTTTGATTCTGATCTTTGTGATTCTCATGGTGATTCATTTTTAAAACCGTCGTTCAGAAAGTGAAAGTAAAGTTTAGATTGCTGGAGCTCAAACAGTGAGAATGGCTTCAGCAGCTGAAGATGATTATATTTGTCCTGTGTGCTGTGAAATCTTCAATACTCCTGTTCTTTTATCCTGTAGTCACAGTTTCTGTAAAGAGTGTCTTCAACAGTTCTGGAGAACCAAGACATCTCAGGAGTGTCCTGTCTGCAGGAGAAGATCCTCAAAAGAACGTCCTCCGGCTAATCTTGCATTAAGAAACTTGTGTGAGTCGTTCCTGAAGGAGAGAAATGAGAGGCGTTCATCAGGGTCTGAGGAGATCTGCAGTTTACACAGTGAGAAACTCAAGCTCTTCTGTCTGGAGGATAAACAGCCTGTGTGTATCGTGTGCAGAGATTCAACACAACATGACAATCATAAATTCAGACCCATCAGTGAAGTGGCTTCATCATATAAGGTAAGACAAATGTTTCTTGATTCATATGTAAAGGATGAGTCATAAACGCAGATCTTTCCGGTTATTAATGTAACCTCTGTCCTGAAGAGCAAAGATCTGGGTAACACTTTAGAATACGGTTCCTTCGTTAATGAATAACTACACAAGAACTAATGAGTAACTATTATTAACTAACAAGAAACTCTGATTAACAAACTAGTAAGTAATAGCGCACAGACGAAAGTGGTAGTTCACTGTTAACTAATCAATAACTACTATTTTTTTAATACTTCCCAGAGAACTACTGAAAAAGTTTATTAACAATCTAGTAGCTACTAATAACTAAAAGAAACTCGTATTAATGAATTAGTAAGTAATAGCTCACAGATGAAAGTGTTACTAGATAGCTACTTACAGAAGGTAAGTAATTTATCCATGTCATTCCCTGTATGTTTCATCTGGCAATATTAAGAAAGCCAACTCAATTATTTTCCAATTCCTGTGGAAAAATAAAACTCACTATATTAAGAAATCACAGCTTGTTAAAGAGTATGACATGGGTGGGATTAAAGCTTTGGATTTTGAAGCAATGTTCGGGACCTTCAAGATTAACTGGTTAAAAACATTTCTGTCGCAACCAGATTCTATGTGGTTTCACATACCCAGACATCTATTTAAAAAAGTAGGAGGGCTTGATTTTCTTTTGCAATGTGATTTTGAGGTGACCAAAATTCCTGTTAAATTATCAAACTTCCACAAACAAATTCTCCAATATTGGAAAATGATTTTCGCCCATAACTTTTCTGCGCATGGATCCACCTTATGGAACAATAGGGTCATTATTATCAATAGGACATCATTGTTCTGGTATGATTGGTATGAAAAGGGCATTGTGTTTGTGAATGATGTTATAGATGACAATGGTAATTTTTTGGAATATAAGTCTTTCTTAGACAAATATAATTTAAACTGTACAAATAGAGACTACAATAAGATCTGTAAAGCAATACCGGTACCTTTATTACAGTCAATTCAAAGCACACTGTTATATACCAATATAAGACCCTTACCAACTTTACCAAAATTAGTTATTAATGATTGTACTCTAGTTGACAGTAAATGCAATAATAAATATATTAATGATGCTTTGGAATCGAAATTGTTTTTTGATTATAACAGAGGATTGTGTGTACAGGTTCTGAATATGTGTGCATTGTCCATTAAAAAAAATCACATTTTAAATTCATTAAATGGCCCGTGTCCCCAAAAGTCAAAGAGACTCACTTTAAAATAATTTATGAGATGTACCCTGTCGCTGACTTTCTTAAAAGAAGATTTAAATTTGAAGTAGATCCTTGTGCTTTTTGTGAGTTGGCTGATGAGACTCTGGAACACATGTTTTTTTGGGGTTTTTTGCCCCGTGTCTAATAGTTTCTGGTCTGAGCTACACAATTGGCTGTCACTCAAGATTGATAATATCCCTACTCTCACCTTGCCACACATCCTCTTTTATATGGGTAATATAGATTCATCAGTATCAGATTTAGTGAATATGATCATTCTTATGGGTAAATATCATATTCATTGCATGGAGATGTTCTAAGCCTTCCTTTGTTTGGTTTATAAACGATTTTAAATTGTTTGTTACCTCACTGAAAAATGTAAAATCTACTAAAATCGCAAGGAAAATGTATAGTGATATATCCAGGAAATTACTGTTTTGATTAATCTCCCTTGTGTGTGCCGCTCCAAATGTAATTTTCTATTTTGCCTTTGACTTGTGTGTTTTGTAGTAGCCCCTTCTGTGTTATTTTATTTTTTTTTCTCTATTGTTGTTTTCTGCTTGGTTAATACTTTTGTACATTCTATCCCCTGCGAGAGTTTTGTATGTTACTTGTTGTCAATAAAAAAAATTAAAAAAAAAATAATTTAAAAAAAGGAGCATTGCATTAGTAATTGAAGCTTATGAGGAAGATAGTTTTTCCCTGAATACTGAAGCCTGATTGGTTCACGTCAAAATGCTTTTCAGTCCGCCAGAACGGACGGGACCGGCTGCCTATTTCGGGGGAAGCGGGCCGTATCCACACATTTCATAAAAGTGCTTGACTTAGTGGCACGCAGGGTGAGGTCGGTCGCGGTGCACAGCTCTCTGAAGGCTGCGGGTCAAGACCAGTTTCATCCACAGTGCAGAGAAGCTTGACCTGGTAGACTTGAAGAACCTCCATTGTAATCATTTCATAGATTTGAGGAATTAGTAACTACGGGGGCAAATACATTTTCACGCTGGCCATGGTGGTTTTGGATGACCTTTTTGTTTCAATAAATAACATTGTGATTTACAAACTGCACTTTGTGTTTACTCGGGTTGTAATTTCTATTCTAAATCAGTTTAGTATGAGATGTTCACAAAAACAGAATAAATCAGGAAGGAGGATAATACTTTTTCACTGCATTATATGATCATATCACTGTATTGTCTTCTCTTCACTGTAATCTGGTGTTTTATGTATTTGTTCAATTCTAGGAGGAGCTCAATACAGCACTGAAGTCCTTACAGGAGAAACTGAAACACAATACAACAATGAAAGCAGAGTTTGAGAAAACAGTTCAACACATCAAGGTGAGGAAACAGAAACGAGACTCATTTTCATTCCAGCTGTTGGACACTATATACAGTTATGATTTGATATAATGGATTCCAGTTTATTATTTCTGTAAATGACGAGCAGCAATCTGCTTCTGGATCAGTTTTATGTCGGGTATGGGAGTTTATCCTGGATATTAATGATGTAAAGTGTGGATTGAGATGATTGAAGTGAATGTGATGTGATTTCAGGTTCAAGCTGAGCACACAGAGCGTCAGATTAAACAGCAGTTTGAGAAGCTTCATCAGTTTCTCAGAGATGAAGAAGAAGCTACAGTCACTGCACTGAGGGAGGAAGAGGAGCAGAAGAAGCAGATGATGAAGGAGAAGCTGGAGGAGATGAACACACACATCTCAGCTCTTTCACACACACTCAAAGACATGGAGGAGATGATGAAAGCCAGTGACGTCTGCTTTCTGAAGGTCTGATTTCAGATCATTGGTTGATCATTGGTTGATTGATTGAGTTCTTGATGATAATGGTGTGTTTGTTCTGCAGGAGTTTCCAGTCTCAATGGAAAGGTGAGTGATCTGCTCCTGTCTCTGGTCTCTCTGGTTCTGATCCAAAGCCACTGCAGTTCTGACTCCTGAATGTTCTTCCAGAGTCCAGAGCTCACGGCCGGATCCACAGATGGCTTCTGGAGCTTTGATTCATGTGCCACGATACTTGGGCAACCTGCCGTTCAGAGTCTGGAAGAAGATGCAGGACATCGTCCAAAACAGTGAGTCTGAACATCTGAGCTGGACATGATGGATTAGATAGATAGATAGATAGATAGATAGATAGATAGATAGATAGATAGATAGATAGATAGATAGATAGATAGATAGATAGATAGATAGATAGATAGATAGATAGATAGATAGATAACATAGTGCAACATTAACATTATATAGATAGATAACACGATTAACATATTGTTAACATAGTGCTAACATGATTATCATGCTGCTACTGTGTTTTAGCAAGCATTGTTGACATGTTTCAAAACTTAGCTAATTGCTATTCTGCTAGCAGTCTACGATGTTCTGGTGCAGAGATATAGGTCTTGCTGAACAGTTGCTAGGGTAATCTGTTTAGTTGCTAGGGAGTGGTTTGGCAGCTGTCAGTGATGTTACTTCAAAGTCTGTTTGCCAGTCTGAATGATATAAACCAACCGCAACTCCTCAATGACATTCAGATTAGAAGATATCCCTCTTTAGATTTGGGTTGTTAGGGTGCTCGACAGTGGTTGCTAGGGCATGGCTAGGAAGTGTTCAGGGTGATTTATGGTTGGCTGAGCCCACCATCATGTTTCTATGACACTTCTATCCAAAGATATTCCTTATGATCTCTTTGAATGGAAGTCTATGGGATTAGTTGCTAGGGTGCTCTAAATGAGTAAAATGAGCCCGCCCCCTTGTCTCTATTGCACTGTGATCCAGAGCCATGTTCAATACAAAATCTCTATGCAATTTACAACAAATGGTAACTCATCCCGAAGTTTTGTTTGTAAAAATAATAATAAGTATTCGTTCGCCACAAGAGCCCCCCGTCCCCCATAAAATATGTAGAGTAAAAAAATTACTCACATAAAATATGTTGGTGGTTATGTCTTTAACAGAGTTGTCATATCCAGTCTCTTTGGTAGAGAGAGAGAGAGAGAGAGAGAGAGAGAGAGAGAGAGAGAGAGAGAGAGAGAGAGGTTTAACAATACCTTTATTTATACATTTTTACTTCAAGATTATAAACAAAGTAAGCCTCACCATAAAACCCTTTATACTCTTATTATAAAAGACATAAAAATAATTAAAATTTCAAAACAAACTGATCCTCTTGCAGCATACATAACACTTCATCAATACACCATATCTCACCAAAACCAAATAAATTATTTGTCAATCTATAATACGCAAATTCAATATTAAGCCTCCCCGCTACAAGCCTCTTGCACATCTCTTCAGGGTCTATGGTTGCTAAATTTAGACCTTTATTTTTTCGTGTTTTCCACACTGCCAGTTTGGCCGTTCCTATTATGTAATTTAATAGGCACATTTTTTTCCTTTTTAAAAATGAATATTTGATTCCTCCAATAAACACCATTTCTGAAAACTCCTCATCAAATTTTCTAAACCAACTCCCAATCAAATTAAACATACCTTTTAATCTCTCGCACTTTAAAAACAAATGCTCCAAATCCTCTTTTTTCCCACAGAATCTACATTCTCCCTTTACCGCTGAGTTTAGGTGTGCCACATGTCCGTCTGTTGCTATCGCCCCATAAATAATCCTCCACTGTAGATCGCCTGAGCGCTTCTCTACAGGAGGCTTATATAGGGCTCTCCACCTGTCTCTTGTCAGGAAGTCTGGCCTCAACAAATCTGGCCACTTCGAAACCTTCTGTTTTCTAAAGGAGTCCTGATGCATGGCCTTTACTGTAATGTTGTAGATTTCCTTCTTCGAAATGCTTTTAAAGGAACAAAACTGGAAATTGCACATTATCCCCCTTGCCCTGGTTGTTCTCATGTCTTTTTTGCGCAATAAAACTTCTGTACCCACTTGGCAATACGTTGTTTATTTCCTCCTTTAGTTTCGACACCAGACGTGAAGATCTCAATCCCGTTGCTTCTTGAAGTTCATCGCTCGGTTTCCATCCTTCATCATTCAATAAATTATCCAGCTTTACAATTCCATTCCTTATTAGACATTGTCGTACAGTCACAGAAGTCAATATTCTGGTTTGTATCAATGGATTAAAAAATAGTGGTTCCTCTGGTGCCCAAAGTTCAAGATTGTCCATATTCCGTTCTGCCCTTATAACAATTCTCCATGTTTGCAACATAGTCCTGTAAAACACAGTGAGCTCAGACAAGTTCATTTCTTCAAGCTTCATTAAAAAGAGTTGTTTATCCAGTCCTAAGCCACCAACTCTCCTCATGATCACACTTGCAGTCTTTCCCCACAGCACATCTTTGTCATACAGAAATCTCTGTGCAGCTTGTATCCTGAAACCACGGACTCTGTTTCTCACATCCACCAGTCCTTGCCCGCCTTCTTGCACTGGTAGATATAACACGGCAGCCCGCAGCCAATGTTGTCCATCCCAGAAAAACTTCACGATTTCTTTTTGTATACTGGAGATCAGTTCCTCTGGTGGCTCCATGACCATAGTCCTGTGCCACAGAATAGAAGCAGCCAGATTGTTTACTACCAATACCCTTCCTCGATAAGACAATTGTGGTAATAGCCATCGCCACTTCGACAATCGGGCAGACACCTTCTCTACTAAACCCTCCCAGTTTTTCTTCTGAAATTGATCATTTCCTAAAAAAACTCCTAAAATCTTTAGTCCATCTTTCTTCCATTGCAACCTTCCTGGAAGTTGTGGAAAATTTTCCAAATTGCCAATCATAAAACCTTCACTTTTCGTCCAATTGACCTTAGCAGAGGAGGCTTTTTCATACAATTCAATAGTTTTTGTTAAAATTTCAATATCTTCTTTTTCTGTAATAAAAACTGTAATATCATCTGCATAGGCTGATAAAACCACCTTAGAATGACCGTTGCCATGAGGGATTAAAATTCCATTTAAATTCTTCCTCAACCTACATAATAGAGTTTCGATAATTAGGCTATATAGTTGTCCAGAGATTGGACAGCCTTGCCTGATGCCTCTTGTCACAGGTATCGGAACACTTAAACCACCCCCTACTTTCACCATCACATACACATTCGAATACAACAACTTAATATATGAAATAAAAACATCCCCAAATCCATAACCCTTTAACACTTTAAAAAGATATTCATGATCAACACGATCGAACGCTTTTTCTTGGTCTAATGACAACACTCCTAGATCCTTCTTAATTTTCTGATTAAATTCAATAATATCTCTTACTAAAAAAAGACTATCTATTATAGATCTCTTAGGAATACAATATGTTTGGTCATTTTTTATCAACAAATCCAGACAGTGCTTGAGTCTATTTGCTAAAACCTTTGAAACAATCTTATAGTCCAGGCACAACAGTGATACCGGTCTCCAGTTTTTTAGCAGTCCAAGGTCTCCTTTCTTGGGAAGTAATGACAAAACTGCTCGACGACAACTCATTGGAAGTGCATTATTTTTTATGCATTCTAAAATAACTTCATATATATCTGGTCCTATTAGGTCCCAGAAATGTCGATAAAACTCCACTGGTAATCCATCAATTCCCGGCGATCTGCCATTAGATAGTTGCCTCATCGCCTCTGTAACCTCATGAAAAGTTATTACATCGTCCAGCTCTTTTTTTTGTTCTTCTTCCAGCTGAGGTAAGTCTTTAAGCAAGTCTTTAGTGCAGTCAATGTCACAACTCTCAGCTGTATATAATAGTTTATAAAAATCTCCAGTCATTCTCCTCATTTCTGTAGGATCTGATGTCACTGATCCGTCCGAACGACGAAGGTGGCACATCATCTTTTGTTGGACATGTTTCTTTTCCAGGTTAAAAAAGAACGCACTTGGAGCATCCATTTCCTTTACAGAAGAGTATCGTGATCTAACCAATGCTCCTTTTGCTTGCTCATGTAGAAGAGAGCTTAATTCTTGTCTTTTCTCATTTAACCCATGACACTGTACAACTTCATTATTATTTTCAGCTTGCCTTTCAATGGACTCAATGTCACTTTGTAAAGCTTTCACTGTTGCGTTCAGTATACTTGATGAATGGAAAGCATAATTTTGACAAAACATTTTTATATTTGTTTTGCCAACATCCCACCATTGACTTAGATTTTCAAAATAATTTTTCTTCAATTTCCAAATATCCCAAAACACTTTAAACTTTTCACAAAAAGAAACATCATGTAATAATTTATTATTAAAAATCCAGTAATAATTACATCTGCGTGTTTTTTCTAAATTAATATCTAATATGACCATGTGATGGTCTGAAAAGCCATTAGGTCTAATAAAAGTATTCATTACCTTGTTGTTCCATATCTTTTTTAGATAAAACCTATCCAATCTCGCTCCACTGATTTTATTCTCAACCACTCTTAGCCACGTATACTGCTTTACTCCTTCATTTCTCGTTCTCCATACATCTGTTAACTGAAATTCATTTATAACTTTTTTTAATACATCTCTTGACTTACTATGAGGCTCTTCGCCATTCCTATCAACAACAAAGTCTATTGTACAATTCCAATCACCTCCGATTATTAGACAAACATTATCATCCAATTTTTTTAGCACTTTTCTTAATTCCATAAAAAATATCAGCCTCTCTGGACCATTATTAGGAGCATACACATTAAGATATACAGACTCTATTCCATTATACTCAATTTGTGTTAAAAGTAATCGTCCTTTCACAATTTCTTCTACCTTTACAATACTCACACTTTTAGAAAATAAAATAGCTACCCCTGCACTATTTCTTGTGTCATGACTCAAGGCAAATTTTCCTTTCCACCATAGCCCCAATTCGATCTCATTATCAATGTCTGTATGTGTTTCTTGTAAAAAACAAACATTAACCTTTTCGATTCTTAAAAACTCTGAAATCTTTACTAATTTATTCTTGTCCCTGCCCCCATTAATATTTAATGACCCCACTCTCCACACATTCATATAGAGAAATAAGAAAAAGACAGAAACTAAAAAGAAAGAGCACAGAGTAAAGAACACCACCCGTGATTTATTCATATCCAAGCTGTTCTCTAAACTTTCCCCTTCCTTCTCCTCAACTTCGTTACCATCTTTTTCAGCCTGAATCTTTTCTTTTTATCCAAAACTTCATAGCTCACTGTTTTTTGCAGGAACAACACTGATATTATAAATTTGTCCACATCTGGAAAAAAATCTTCTACTTCTACAACTTTACCAAATGTTGTATCTAGAAACTCATTAATTTCCTCTCAAGAATACGTGTCTTCAATCACTTGTGACCCAATTTCTGAAACTTCAGAAAACGCATCTTCATCTCTCATTTCTGCATCACCAGCATTCTCACTTCCGACACCATTTGCTCCATTACTTGCAACTGTTTCCCTATCTTCACTCATATTCACAATCCCACTTTCCTCAGTTTTGTTGTCATTTTCTTCATTTAATTCAACAGTTTCCTCAGCTCCCTGAGGCTCATCTTCCTCTACAACAACAGCTTCCTCAGCTCCCTGAGACTCATCCTCTTCCTCCTCTACAGACTGCACTTTCTCAGGATCATTCACAGGACCAACGGCCTCCCCAGCGTGTCTAGCGGCTTCTTCATCAGCTTGTGCTTTATGTGGGCATGCTAAACGCTTATGCCCGACATCTCCACACTCAAAACACTTCATATTCCCAGTATTTGCATAAACCATGTACGCTCTTCCTTCATGCCAAACTTTAAAAGACACGTCTAACGCCTGTTCATTCAGGAACATAAAAACCTGTCTTCTAAACGACATTACATGCTTTAGCGCTTCATTTCTACATCCAAGAGGAACAGTTTTAATTGCGCTAGCTAACTTACCATATCGCAAAAGCTCTCGTTCTATCTCATTACTCTGGATGAACGGCGGCACGTTTGACACAGTCACCTTAATAGTTGGAGCAACCAGCGGCAAAACAGTAACAAAGTCTCCACTTACCACTATCCCGCTGCTTATAAGATGATTCACATGGTTGTCTTCTTTTAAAAACACAACCACCGCTTTATTCATTCGCGAGGCAGATGAAATGTTTTGATAGCCGATCTCCTGTCCAACTGCAAGTAACACTTCCTCCACATTCACCCCGTTCGCCATCACACACCTGACTCCATGGCGTAAGGAGACAGGTGGCGTCTGGGACGCCATCCCGTTTCCTAACTAATCTTCAAAAAAAAACTCGTATCACAGCAAAAATGTATTCTCAGGAAACTTGAAAAATTAAAGAAAGTTTGAAACAAGCAAACGATCACCCTCCCCTCGTGTGAACCCTCACATGCACCCAAAAACTCCCAGCATGCACCAAGAGAGATAGAGAGAAAGAGAGAGAGAGAGAGAGAGAGAGAGAGAGAGAAAACAAACAAGCATGCAAATGGAAATTATCACGGCCGGAAAAATTATCGAGCTCATTTTTTTTATTGTGCGATTAATTGATTTATTGACTATTGTGACAGGTCTGATCCAGATTAATGACAGCTAGCCGTGAGCCGTGGCTAAGCTACCAGCTGTTAGCCACTTAGCTAACAACGCTAGTCTGAGCAAACTACCACCAAAATCATACATATGATTTTTTTTTTTAATACCTACATTCCCCATGATTAACTATAAATCCTTGGTGGCCAGGTGCCGCACTTTTACGTCTTTTACTCATCCAGCACAGCGTATTGATATACATCGGTCCTTATATATATATATATCATGTAGGCAAATTGAGTCTGGGGCAGATAATAATGGACAAGAGAAAACTGGTGGTAACAAAGAAGGATCGGATCGAAGAATTTTTCTCAAGGTATCTCTGTCTCTCTCTCTCATTGAAATGGGCAGTTTTTGCGGCCAAACCGGGCGAGATCGGGCGTAAATATGGCGGCGTTCTGTTTGGAGTGACGGAGGTGCATCTATCAATAACGAATAACAATAGATGATTTGCCTTCACTAATAATAAATCATTTCTGTTGTGTTTGACTTATGTTGGCTTCAGAAATTATTTATTACTCAGAATAAACTAATTTAAAACAAAACACAGACTATAAGAGGCAATAAATGAAGATGATCAGAAGCTGCTGAAGATCAGACACACACTTCCAGTTCTTCATCCACAGCATTAATATCAACAGATCTCATTGATTTATTGTTATTGAACTTTCCCAAAGTTTCAGTTTCTCTTGATGGACACAAATGTCTGAATCTCATATTTAATGTGTGTAGTTGATGCCGTTAAACGCTGATGATAAAACGAGTGAAACTAATAACAGCACTGACAGTGATCAGAGGAAAATGAGTTTGATCAACAGGACGAGTGTCATAATTCATAATAATCTGTGTTGGGTTCACTGTTGATCATTATATGAAGATCAGAATAAAAGCATGTGTTGATTGTGTCTCATCAGCTCCTGTGATTCTGGATCCAAACACTGCGAATCCAGAACTCGTCCTGTCTGATGATCTGACCAGTGTGAGAAACAGCGAGAACAGACAAACTCTTCCTGATAATCCAGAGAGAATTGACTGTTATGAGTGTGTTCTGGGTTCAGAGGGATTTAACTCAGGAACACACTGCTGGGATGTGGACGTTACAGAGAGTGAATACTGGGCTCTTGGAGTAACTACAGCATCAAACCGGAGGAAGGGACGCGGTTTCTTCAACACTGATGTCTGGTGTGTGCAGTATAATCCGGCCGGACTGTATTTTAGTTCTGGTTTTCATGTTAAACAGGATCTTGATCGTGTGAGAGTGAATCTGGACTATAATGGAGGAACGGTGTCGTTCTCTGATCCTGTAACTAACACACATCTACACACACTCACAGACACCTTCACTGACACACTCTTTCCATTCTTCCGGTGCTCTTCCGACTCTCTGAGGATCTTAGCGGTCAATAGTCAGTAAACGTCTCTCCTGTAGATCTGGATCTTCCTGCTTTCATCATGTTTCCAATATTTACTCCATCTCACATGAGTAAGAGTGCTGTTGATCTGAGTGTCAGTACGGTGGCTGTGATTGGGCCGTGATGATCACATGACTGATATCCAGCACTACAGCAACACTCAGATCAAGAAACATCAAGTTTTCATTTATATTCCACTTCACACAATTAGACCCATTAGAGACCGTTTTAGCATTCATGTTTTCAGGAGAACTGACATTTACCACATTATTTCACTCAATCTGTGTTTATATATTTTGCATAATTATTATTATATGATTAAATTATAAATGAATGTAAAAAGTTCTTGCTGATGATGATCCCTTGAAATGTGTTTTTTAAATAAATAAATGATATGATGTGATTATGTGATTTAAAGCTCAGAGTGAAAGATTAAATGTTTGGGATGATAATTAGGGTTTAAGTCATGGAAAACTTCAAAATGAGTGGGATCCCAAAATGTTTATTTGTGTTTTCCCAAGTAAATATTTATGATGGAAATATCAGAAGATGGTGGCAAAGTGGGACAGCTTGTCTGATAGATCTGCATTTATGTGACGAAGCCCATGGGTTTGGACAGGGCTTATTTCTCCTGAATGCAAAATATTAGGAATATGATCCATAAAGTACAGTAAAATGTTCGGTCATATAGCCACAATCTTTAACGTTAGCCTTGAACATGCAGTCGAACCGTGGCGGTGCGAGAACGTGTGTATTCAACTCAGTCAAGACAAAAGAAGTGATTAGTTCTAGTTTCAGAGTTCAAAAACATCAAATTGATCAAAAACATCAAATTGATCAAAAACATCAAATTGATCAAAAACATCGAATCGCTGCTCTTTCCCCCTCAGAGAGCTTTTTATTGTGTAGGCCTATATTTAACTATTTAAAGTGGGATCAAGCTGCCGTCTTAACAATTATTAAAATCATTCACAGTTTTCTGAATTCAACCGCCTTTTTGTTTGAGATAAAATTATATTACATAGTAATAAATTGGATTTATAAATTGATTGTATTTTATTGTATTGATTGAAGTGTCATGTTTGTGATTTTCATTTGTCAAGTAGCCAGATCCTTCCCATAAAATCATGATTTGGCATTCGTTTTATTTATTCAGAAGCAGACGTAACGTTGTTTATTTTACCTTTCTTTTCGGCAGTATTGGAAACTCCAACAGTCTTCCTCCGTTTGACAGACGCCACATTCGGTAACACTTTATTTGAAGGGGTGTGCATAAGACTGACATGATGACACTGTCATAACACCTGTCATGAACATGAAGGAGTCTTTATGAATGTTTCTGTTGTCATTAAGTGTCATTCGGTAAATTATGACACTTTTAATGCAAAGTTGACATTGTTTAAAATCTCTTTGTTATGATAACTTGACATTAACCAAGAAATCATAACCTGTCAACCTGTCACAAATATTTCAGGTCTAATTATCAAACTTAAAGAGTAACTAAACCCTAAACCAACTTTTTTTAGTTAATGATCTGTAAGAATGGATCTTCATTAATAGCAGTCATCGAGTAACTTTTTTAACATTTGTGTATAAAGTGTTTTTTTTCTACAATATATGGTGTAAAAGCGTCTTAGTGCTGCCCTCTTCAGGTTGAACGGTGGCTACTGCAGTTGAATTTTCCTATTGGATGTTCCGCTCTTCGTGACGTACGCAGGTTTCAGCTCACCACGCCCTTGGTACGAGCTACGCCCTTCGGCAGTATAAAAACTAGATTGTTTCGTAGTGAGTCAGAAGTTGGAATTGGAGTATTGAAAACGATCAGGATAGTGTTTTAGCATCTATTTCGTCCGCTCTATCTCCGCTGGGATCTGCCCACTTTTCCAGCATTTTCAAATATTTCCAGTGGGTGGAGTCAGACTCTGACCAGGGGTTTAGTTACCCTTTAAAGAAGTTATTTAGCTTTGTGTTAACATTACATTACCCTGTCTCTGTCATATGTTATGGTTGGTTTTAACTTTGGCCTTGACACCATTATAACTGTGTCATGAATATTTTACTTGTCCTCAAGTAAAGTGAAACACATTGTACTAGTTATAAAGATGTCATTAAGGGATATTCCTCTGTCAAATGCTTTAACAACAGTGTCATTAATATTTCCCCTTTCCTCAAGTAAAGTGGAACACGTTGGACTAGTTATAATTTCTTGGTTAATGTCAAGTTGTCATAACAAAGACATTTTAAACAATGTCAACTTTGCATTAAAAGTGTCATAATTTACCGAAAGACACTTAATGACAACAGAAACATTCATAAAGACTCCTTCATGTTCATGACAGGTGTTATGTCATGTTTCTGACAGTGTCATCATGTCAGTCTTATGCACACCCCTTCAAATAAAGTGTTACCCCACATTCTTATTTTTACAGAGATTTTCAAGCTGCATTTTGATACAACACTTTGTTGTTGAATACAATATTATTAAATTGTATTCATAAAATGATGTGGAGAAGGAGGCTGTGTCCAGATTTTTCAAAGCCAGGCCAGTTCCTTATGCAACGAAGGTGAAAGTAGAAGCTGAAATAGAGCGCCTGTTAAGAGAAAACATCATTAAACCTGTTAACTCTTAATGGGCAGCACCTGTAGTGCCGCTGTTAAAGTCTGATAATACAGTACGACTATGAGGTGACTACAAGCTAACAGTAAATCGAGTTTCAGAGTCGGAACAGTACAACATCCCTCGAATAGAAGATTTGTTTGCAACATTGTCAGGTGGACTGAAGTTCACCAAACTGGATATGAGCCATGCTGACCATCAGACTGCATTATAGTCCAAGAAATATGTCCCTGAAGACCCACAAGGGGTTGATTACTCACCGTGTTTTAGCCTCTGGAGTTTCTTCTAGTCCAGAGGACCGTTGCGGGAGTACGGCAAGGTTTACCGTCTGTGGCAGTTTTCCTGGATGACGTCTTGGTGACCGGTCTCAACGAGGAGGAGCATCTCCAGGGTATTGGACAGATTGCAGAAGCAGGACTGCGTTTGAAACAGAGCAAATGTTCCTTCATGAAAAAGAGGTAATGTTCTTGGGCCATAAAGTAGACGAGGCTGTCCTACACCCAGTGCCAGAAAAGGTCACTGCTATTCAGAAGGATGTGACGGAGTTACACTACTATAATAAGTTCTGCCTAACTTGTCTAGTGTTCAGCCCTGTGCAGCCGCTGCTGTTGAAGATGCACAATGGAGCTGCTGTGGGAACAAGAGGCTGCTTTTGCTCAGACTAAAGAAATGATCCAGTACAAGTTCTGGTCCACTATGACCCTCAGAAGGATGGGATTTTATCATGTGATGCTTCTCCTTAAGGTCTCGGTGCAGTTCTTTCGCATAAGATGCCTGATGGTAGTGAGAGACCCCTTGAATGTCACGGACATTAAATCAAGGAAGGGTTGGCCGTAATGTTCGGCTCACAGCGCTTTCATGAGTATTTGTATGGTCGGAAGTTTACCATCGTTACAGACCATAAACCCATGTTGCCTTTATTTAACGAGTTCAAATCTTTTGACTATTTTAACATCTTAAAATATTCACCATTTCAACATGTTGAATATTTACGATCAGAAATCCAGATGTGTGTGGGGAACCCCGAGGACAAACGTGCGCACGCTCTGGAGATTATCACGAAACATCAAATCAGAAAGCGAGATGACGGAAGACGGAAGCATAACAAACACAGTCATGGCGCAGCACAAAGTGAAATGATGTGGACAGCAGAGATGGAGGATCAGCTTGTTGATTTACAGCACGAATGTTTGGACAATGTGTCGTGTAAAACCTGAGACGAGATGGTCTGAAATAGCTTCGGCAATTTTAGAGAGAGAGAGACGGGAAATTAACCATGTTTATATTATAGGCGTATTGAATATTTGAATAATCAAATAAATACATTAGTTAGAATTTTTTATAGCAAAACTATGGTTAATTTGTGGTTATCACAAGGCGGTAATCCATCCGCCGGAAGTCGCCATTGTAACTGAGCTTCTCCTGCTGTTAGCAATAGCATCCCATTGACTCCCATTCATTTTAGCGTCACTTTGACAGCGAATAACTTTACATCTGAGGTGTCCAAAGACTCCATTTGTCCATTATTTATTTCTAAAGAAACACAACAATGTATAAACACTCCATTACTGTGTATCTTACGTTACGGTCCCGTAGAAGCCGTTTTTGTAAAAATAGGCTAAGGATTGCGTCATCACAGCAGCCATATCACCCTGTAGCCCAAGACTGGTTGCCCACTGAAGCTAAGCAGGGCTGAGGCTGGTTAGTACCTGGATGGGAGACCTTCTGAGAAGGCCAGGTTGCTGTTGGTAGAGGTGTTAGTGAGGCCAGCAGGGGGCGCTCACCCTGTGATCTGTGTGGGTCCTAACGCCCCAGTAGGGGATACTATACTGTCAAAGAGCACCGTCCTTCGGATGAGACGTTAAACCGAGGTCCTGACTCTCTGTGGTCATTAAAAATCCCAGGATGTCTTTCGAAAGAGTAGGGGTGTAACCCCGGCATCCTGGCCAAATTTGCCCAGTGGCCTCTGTCCATCATGGCCTCCTAATCATCCCCATCTTTACCAATTGGCTTCATCACTGTCTCCTCTCCACCAGTAAGCTGGTGTGTGTGTGAGCGTTCTGGCGCACTATGGCTGCCGTCGCATCATCCAGGTGGAGCCGCACACTGGTGGTGGTTGAGGAGATCCCCCCTCTATGTAAAGCGCTTTGAGTGCCGAGAAAAGCGCTATATAAATGTAATGAATTATTATTATTATTATTATAACCACGGGACTTTCTGTCGCACAATAGAGACGTTACCGTATAGACAGGAGGAGAAGCTCAAGGCAATCTTTCACTGTCTACAAGGCAATCGGGGACATGAAGGCATAAAGTCAAGGTAGAATAGATAGAGAGTCCATAAAAGCAACATGACAATATATTTCAATTGTTTTTGAAGAATAAGGTGATTCAGTTTTGTCATGGCACAGCTAGAAGATTTACAGCAGGCTGTCAGACTGTCGTCACTCTCAGTTTGAGCCTGCGCAGTCGCTCAGACATCAGACAGGAAGTGCAATAATCGGGCTTCAGTCTTCTCCGTTGAAATCAATGGGGTCGCTGTGTCCATATCTTTTACTGTCTATGGAAGTTACAGAGTGCCAGCAAAAGCGATACAGACACTGTCAGGCTATTCAACCTATTGTAAGTCGATGCACCATCTCCAGGGTTTTGGAAAAATATTATAAACGTTGAAAAAGTAACATAGTGCAGTTTTAAAATGCCCGTCTTTTTATGTCAATTTCGATGACTGTAAGTGAAAAAATAAATAAATGAATGAATTGATCCCTTAGCACCTATTATGAATAGGGCGGGGATATTGTGACACAAACATGCTTGTAAAATGAAATTAAATCATGAGTAATTTACTTCTTGTAATGTAAAATTTTATTTCTCAATAAAACTTTGGCATGTGAAGTTTACCTCAGTTAAATCTGTAAAAATAATAAAGAGTCAAATCCCCACCATTGCAAACATTCTCCCGCGCAGCACCCCAGTTTAGCAACCACTGATCTAGAGCCAAATCAATCATTCAGGCAGGCTTTAAATCTGAACAGTCACAGTCAAAAGCAACTACAAAAACAAAAACAACAAAAAAATATACAAAAACAAGCCAATTTTTAGAATTTTCTACAATTATAGATGGATCTTTAATTCCTTAATAATAATAATCAATAGGACATGGCTGTAAGATCATATATATAAATACAAACATAATTCTAGTGAAATTGTCAGAGAAAGAGTGATGGGACTGAATGTCTATGCGTGAGTATATTTTTCATAATTTACAAGAAATACATAAGTATTAATAAATGTGCTGACGAGTGATCCCTGAGAGACAAACTTTTGACAATCAGCATGATAAACAGATGAGTGTTCATCACTGAAACTTCAGCATGAGAAGAAATCATTTAGAGAAAGAATGGATCATGACAGACGTTGGAGAAACTCTGTGATGAATGAAGAAGAGTAAAACACAAGTATTTTTAATATTTGAGTATTTTCATTGTTCTTTTGGGCTTTATCCAAGGCTTTATAGCATTAAATCTTAACGTTTCAATGCAAGTTCATTTTACATCCTGATGTTGTTCTTTGACTTGTTTCAACAAACCAACTTGATCAGAAGCTCCTCCCTCTTACAACACTGACCAGGAAGAGACGGACTTGTTATTTCTCTTTTCTGCCATACTGACTTTGTCTCGACAAAAGCAATAAAGAATCAGCGATCAGTGGAGTACGAAGAGAAAAACTTTACAGAAGAATTTGAGAAGTTTCTTCCTGAACAAGTTTGATTCTGATCTTTGTGATTCTCATGGTGATTCATTTTTAAAACCGTCGTTCAGAAAGTGAAAGTAAAGTTTAGATTGCTGGAGCTCAAACAGTGGAAATGGCTTCACTAAATGTTTCTGCTGAAGAACTTTCTTGTCCTGTGTGCTGTGAAATCTTCAAGACTCCTGTTCTTTTATCCTGTAGTCACAGTTTCTGTAAAGAGTGTCTTCAACAGTTCTGGAGAACCAAGACATCTCAGGAGTGTCCTGTCTGCAGGAGAAGATCCTCAAAACCTCATCCTCCAGTGAATCTTGCATTAAGAAACTTGTGTGAGTCGTTCCTGAAGGAGAGAAATGAGAGGCGTTCATCAGGGTCTGAGGAGATCTGCAGTTTACACAGTGAGAAACTCAAGCTCTTCTGTCTGGAGGATAAACAGCCTGTGTGTTTAGTGTGCAGAGATTCAAAACAACATGACAATCATAAATTCAGACCCATCAGAGAAGTGGTTTCATCATATAAGGTAAGACAAATGTTTCTGGATTCACATGTAGACAAACATAATGGGCCCTGTTTTAACGATCTGAAACGCAAGTGTCAAAGCGCATGGCGCAAGTAACTTTGTGGGCGGGTCCCGGCGCTGTTGCTATTTTCCCGGCGGGATAAATGCCTCCTGGCGCAAATCTAAAAGGGGTTGGTCTGAAGTAGCTTCATTATTCATAGGTGTGGTTTGGGCGTAACGTGAAATAAACCAATCAGAGCGCCATCCAACATACCCTTTAAGATCAGGTGTGCATGTTGCATAACAGATTGTTATTATAACGGCGGGTTTACCAGGCGCGCGCCAGGAGCGTTCACAGCCGATGAGACCGACGATCTCATCAGGACAGTGAAAGACAGAGAGGTGACGTTGTATGGGGATGGAGAAACTCTCGCACATCAGCGTCGGTTAAACATTATATACGTATGTTTCTTGCCACTATTGGGCAAACAGGTCTGATCCTTCAGTACTACAATTAGCCTTAAAAAATGGGTAACTATAGTTATAAAAACCTATAGGTTTTTTCATCTTCATGTAAACCACAATGATTTCCCTCATGTGTTAATATTTTTCCTTGTTATGTATAATTTGCAAAAATAAAAAACGACCGCATCTGTGTTGATGAGTGTATGCGCGCTGTGCACCCGCTACATTATGGCCAAGCATGCGCCCTTAAAAACGCGCAACGCGCCACTGACTTTAGACCAGGTTTTTTCTGGTCAGTGGCACAATTGTGTTCTGGAAGTGTAAAATAGCACCAGGGAATGTTTGCGCCGAAACACGCCTCCTTTTTGCGCCGATCCGCCCAGGGAGCGCAAGTTCATTCCCAAGTTTACCGACGTGCGTCTGTGGAGGGGAAAATCCTGCTTTGCGCACGTGCAAAATAGGAATGAGACATGCGTTTGTGTATAAAGTCATTTGCGCCGGGTGCAAGATAGGGCCCAATGAGTCATAAATAAACGCAGATTGGATAACGCTTTGAGACGCTTTGCCTGTCATCTTCGAGTACTGTTAAAACGAACCAAAGCCAGATCCAGAAATGTCAGCTATGCTTTAACGGGCCACCAAGGCTGCCGAGCTCGAGTGAAACACTCCATCATGTCCCGTTCAGTCTCGGTTGGAGGATTGGTATCTCAGGGCGGGCTGCGCTGGTTCTCAGCTCGGCACCTCATGTCCAGCTTACCAGGTTGTGGATGGCACCTTTCTCTGCCAGAAAATGCCTGAATAGCTTTTCCCCCTCACTACCCTTGATGGAGGACCGGTGAAGGTTTGCGAGGCTATCCCTCCAGTGGAGCGGTCTGACACAACACAGGTGCACCTGGGTCTGGCGGCCGCTGCCTTCGCTGCATCCGACCTTGCCCTCCGGGGCACGAGTGGAGTTGGTCACCTGGGTGAGGGCTGGGTGGAGTCTTTGTTTGAGTGTGTGTCTGTTCCACTGCTGGCTCTCAAAAGAAGCGGAGCAAGCAGTACCCACATTTCAAAGAAAGAGCAAATTCCTCTGTTCCTGGGTCCCGGGAGTTAGAGTCTGGCGGTGTGCAACCCTGTAAGCCTTGCACCCCTCAGCCCCCTCTTATTCACCAGCACTGGGTGCGGTTCGACGCCCCGGTCATCCCCTTTCCATGCATCCCTGGCCGTCTCGTAATTTTATGATTGAGTGAGTCCCGAGGTGACCTTGGCAGAGCGGCACGCCCTATGTAATAAAAGATCACCCTGGCCTGCCGCCAAACTCTCAGTCTGTGTTCAGACCTTTAGGTCCACTAACATCGACTGAGGGGCCATGTACAAAGGCCATGCTTTAACGGAGGCCTGGGTGACCTCCGACTGCATTGGTATTCATTACCTCGAGTTAGCAGTTCACCTCGCTTTGAGCCACCGCTGCTCAGCGAGCTGGTACTGGTCCAAAAAGACAAATGGTAAATGGACTGCATTTATATTAGCGCTTTCATAGACCTAATGGCCACCAAAGCGCTTTACATATTGCCTCACATTCACCCATTCATACACCGACGGCGGTGTCAGCCATACAAGGCCCAATCTAGCTCATCGGGAGCAGCTGGGGTTAGGTGTCTTGCTCATGGACACCTCGACACTTGGTCAGGTGGAACCGGGGGTTGAACCACCAACCTTTCGGTTTGTAGACAACCCACATGAACCACTGAGCCACTGCCGCCCCAACATCGCGACCAATGCGCTAAGCTTCCCTCGCATGTCACAACTCGCCCGTCACCTCCTCCTTGGAGTCAGAAGCTTCTGAGGTCGCTTCTTTCCACTATAAAATTCTTCCGGGCTGCTCAATCGTGCCCGCCAACAAGCCTCACGGCACCTGTGGCCAGGGAGATTGGAGACTTCATCCCCTGGCGGTCTAGCTGGGCAGGGGCAACTTTGGGTCGCACATCTGTTGCCTTTCCAAAGTCGTCCGTCTGCCAGTTTTGTTTTCTGTCTGAGCGGACATCCCTAGGGACTCTGAGCTGACCCCGCAGAAATGCATTCCCCAGGGAGCCTTCTAAGACAGCGGCTATGTTTCTGAAGTTCAGTGAATCTTATCACACTCAAGTGTTGAGCAAAGATGCTCCTGAAGCTCAGTGATCTTCACATCTAGTGTTGAGCAATGCTCCTGTATTGTGCGCGCATGTCCCTTGCATCTACTGTGTAAGTCAGGTGGAACAGGTCTTGATAGTTTCCCCTTATTGGCCCAACTAGATCTAGTTTCCTCGACAGCCTTCCTGACTCCCCTGAATACATTTCAGGGACGGGGCATGATGGCACCTGTGTTCAAAAAATTGGACGGGAGGTTCAGGTGGCTACCACAAGGTTATGTAGTAGTGACCATCACTTCTGCAAGCACCCCTAAAGATAAGGCAGTTGCGCTTTACTAAGTTAGAAGTGGAACCTATTCGTTGAATGAGTCTTCATTGAGTCTGCCGTGGGCGAGCAGAGATGAGCGGCGATGGTCTCTCCTGTCAGACTTAAATTTGCAGTCGGCTCGTCTGTTTTAATGGGCATTATAAATGCAGTTTCATAGATTTGAGGAACGAAAGGGTCAAATACATTTTCACGCAGGCTCAGGCGGTATTGGATAACTTTTTTGTTTCAATAAATAACATTGTCATTTACAAACTTTGTGTTTACTCAGGTTGTGATTTCTGAATATATTTATCATGAGATTTACACAAAAAACAGAAGAAGTCAGCATGGGGGAAATACTTTTTCACTGCCTTATATGATCTAAGTCTGTGTATTGGTAAGAATCTGGCGATACGATACGTCTCACGATACATGGGTCACGATTCAATATATATCATCGCTCTCGTCTACAGTATAGAGGATTCCAGCTTCCATTGGTAAGTTATGTGATGAACCGTAATAGTCACATATGACTCAGTTGCCCTAGACGTCCAAGCGTCACATGTCAATGCAACCTCTCAGCTTAAGCTAGACATTCCAGCCTGGACGGTATAGTGTAACGAGGCTTCATTGTTTGGACCCTATTACGGAAACCTTCATTTTCCACCACACTGAGCGGATGCATGTCTTTACAAATGAAATAAACGAACAACTGGGTTATTTTGGTTGTTGGAAATTTGTGTGTTTGAACTTGAGCAAGGGTGAGTTGTGAGGGGTTGACTCGTTTAGGTTGATGTTCGCTTAACTGAGTGTCTGAATGGTTTCTTGCTAAATGTGCCCTCATATTTGTGGTATTATCAGAGTACTTGATTTTTCCCAGACACAGTTTACAAACTCCATAGTTCTTGTTGACATCGGTGGTGCCGTCTTTATTCAGGAAACCAAAATGATTCCACACTTCAGCACGTAATGCAGCGGGAGCCGGTCTTACACGCGGTTCAGCCATAGCTATTGTTGTTAGCTTCTAGCAAAAAGTTAGACACTGTTAGATGTGGACACTAGTGGTGCATTTCAGCATAGCCATCTAGTGGTAGGGAGTTAAACACAACATAAACGTGAACCACGGTCTTACCATGAATATTTTTGCACGTAAAAAAAATTTGATATTGCGTTTTTGAAAATCGATACAGTATTGCAAAATGAAATATTGATACTGAAGTGTATCGATTTTTTTCTTGCAGCCCTAAATATGATCTATATGAGATGACATTGTATTGTCTTCTCTTCACTGTAATCTGGTGTTTTATTATTTGTTTAATTCTAGGAGGAGCTCAATACAGCACTGAAGTCCTTACAGGAGAAACTTAACGCAATTCAACAATGAAAGCAGAGTTTGAGAAAACAGTTCAACACATCAAGGTGAGGAAACAGAAACGAGACTCATTTTCATTCCATGTTGGACACTATATACAGTTATGATTTGATATAATGGATTCCAGTTTATTATTTCTGTAAATGACGAGCAGCAATCTGCTTCTGGATCAGTTTTATGTCGGGTATGGGAGTTTATCCTGGATATTAATGATGTAAAGTGTGGATTGAGATGATTGAAGTGAATGTGATGTGATTTCAGGCTCAAGCTGAGCACACAGAGCGTCAGATTAAACAGCAGTTTGAGAAGCTTCATCAGTTTCTCAGAGATGAAGAAGAAGCTACAGTCACTGCACTGAGGGAGGAAAGGAGCAGAAGAAGCAGATGATGAAGGAGAAGCTGAGGAGATGAACACACACATCTCAGCTCTTTCACACACACTCAAAGACATGGAGGAGATGATGAAAGCCAGTGACGTCTGCTTTCTGAAGGTCTGATTTCAATCATTGGTTGATCATTGGTTGATTGATTGAGTTCTTGATGATAATGGTGTGTTTGTTCTGCAGAAGTTTCCAGTCTCAATGGAAAGGTGAGTGATCTGCTCCTGTCTCTGGTCTCTCTGGTTCTGATCCAAAGCCACTGCAGTTCTGACTCCTGAATGTTCTTCCAGAGTCCAGAGCTCACGGCCGGATCCACAGATGGCTTCTGGAGCTTTGATTCATGTGCCACGATACTTGGGCAACCTGCCGTTCAGAGTCTGGAAGAAGATGCAGGACATCGTCCAAAACAGTGAGTCTGAACATCTGAGCTGGACATGATGGATTAAAGAGTTAGATAGATAGATAGATAGATAGATAGATAGATAGATAGATAGATAGATAGATAGATAGATAGATAGATAGACAGACAGATAGATAGATAGATAACATAGTGCAACATTAACATTATATAGATAGATAACACGATTAACATATTGTTAACATAGTGCTAACATGATTATCATGCTGCTACTGTGTTTTAGCAAGCATTGTTGACATGTTTTAAAACTTAGCTAATTGCTATTCTGCTAGCATTTGTAGCATGATGGAAGTCCTGTTTTCTAGCATTAGTCAATGGAGCCGACCGCCATGAGTCTATGATGTTCTGATGCAGAGATATAGGTCTTGCTGAACAGTTGTAGGGTAATCTGTTTAGTTGCTAGGGAGTGGTTTGGCAGCTGCCAGTGTCAGTGATGTTACTTCAAAGTCTGTTTGCCAGTCTGAATTATATAAACCCAACTGCAACTCCTCTATGATATTCAGATTAGAAGATATCCCCCTCTTTAGATTTGGGTTGCTAGGGTGCTCGACAGTGGTTGCTAGGGCATGGCTAGGAAGTGTTCTAGGTATTTATGATTGGCTGAGCCCACCCTCATGTTTCTATGACACTTATATCCAAAAATATTCCTTATGATCTCTTTGAATGGAAGTCTATGGGATTAGTTGCTAGGGTGCTCTAAATGAGTAAAATGAGCCCGCCCCTTGTCTCTATTGCACTGTGATCCAGAGCCATGTTCAACACAAAATCTCTATGCAATTTGCAACAAATGGTAACTCGTCCCGAAGTTTTGTTTGTAAAAATAATAATAAGTATTCGTTCGCCACAAGAGCCCCCCGTCCCCCAAAAATATGCAGTGTAAAAAATTACTCACATAAAATATGTCGGTTATGTCTTAAACAGAGTTGTCATATCCAGTCTCTTTGGTAGAGAGAGAGAAGAGAGAAGAGAGAGAGAGAGAGAGAGAGGAGGAGAGAGAGAGAGAGAGAAGAGAGAGAGAGAGAGAGAGAGATGAGGAAAAGAAACAAGCATGCAAATGGCAATTATCACGGCCGGAAAAATTATCGAGCTCTTTTTTTTTGTGCGATTAATTGATTTATTGACTATCATGACAGGGCTGATCCAGATTAATGACAGCTAAGCTAGCTAACAATGCTACCTAGTCTGAGCAAACTATCACCAAAATCATACATATGATTTTTTTTTTTTTAAATTTATAATACCTACATTTCCCATGATTAACTATAAATCCTTGGTGGCCAGGTGCCGCACTTTTACGTCTTTTACTCATCCAGACACAGAGTATTGATATACATCGGTCCTTCAAGCGATCCCCACTGTAGTCTATGGGCAGGAGTTATGCACAAGATATATACTGTATAT